CGTCGCTGATAAGTAACTGTGGAAATGACATGGGTGTTAATGCCATAAAGTCGGGAACACAACAACTCCAAACTCAGCTGAGCTGAGCTGCTGCGAAAATAAGCAAATGGCTAACGAGAATTCTGCGACTGCTAGATAGCATCTATAGATGACTTAGATAGATATGTTATTATTATTTTACTATATACATTTTAAAAGTTTGTAATATATTTTTGTTGTTTTCTTTATTTCGCTTCGATTTCTCGGTGGGATTTTTAGTTCATAATTTGAGATATACTTTGGAGATCAGCACTCTATATATATTATTTTCTTTTTCAAATTAATAATTTCTTTTTAATAGAAATCGACCAAATTTTTTAAATGTTTATTAAAATATCTCTTTAGGCTTCTCTTGCTGTGTACTTTGCTATAAATTTCTATAGATCAGCTTGTTAAATGAGTTCTTTGATAGATCAACTCTTTCATCATCTGCTCTTTAGCAAAGAAAAAACTTTTTTCTGCACTGTTAAAAAATGTTTTTTTCTGACATTGCAAACAGACAAAATAAGTTTTTTTTCTAAAGCAAATTTATTTCCGGTATTTTGAGGTGAGAGAAATGTTATCCATTTGTGAGTGTAGGAAACGTATATAATAATTTAAAGATTACAAAATTTTACAAACTATATGCTTAATATTTTTCTTATATTAAAAAATATATTTTTAAATATTCTATTATGTATATATATATATATATATATATAATATATATATTTATATATATGCTTTAGTTTTTTCTGAATACACTTAAGACGTTTTTATACCCTGATCCCATTAAAAATGGGAAATCAGGGTATAATGGTTTTGTGCAAATGTATGTAACAGGCAGAAGGAGGCGTGGCAGACCCCATAAAGTATATATATTCTTGATCAGGACGACAAGCCGAGTCGATTGAGCCCTGTCCGTCTGTCTGTCCGTCCGTCTGTCCGTCTGTCCGTCTGTCCGTCTGTCCGTATGTGTGAACGCGTGGATCTCAGCATCTATAAGAGCTAGAGACTTGAAATTTTTTTTGTAGGTCCGTGTATAGCACGCGCAGGTCAAGTTTGTTTCAAATATTCGATAACTATTCGCATTTAATTGTTATCGAATAAAAACATTATTGAAATGCAGTAAATAAATTATATCTCGAAAGTCTTAAGAGCTAGAGCCTCCAAATTTTGTATTTAGTCTTATGTATATTTTATGCAATTTTGATTTTTGTTGGATTTTGGATACCGGCTCCAAATTCCCCCAAATTCTTAGAATTTAAGTTTAGTTGGAGCTAGGGCCATTATGTGAAGGCGTTTGCATCTCAACCAAGCCAATAGGATATGTAGATCATATGCTGAAAGTTTCATTAAAATCCATTAAGTAAAACAGAAGTTATTAAACAAAACGTTTGGCCAATTTGCAAAAGCACATGTCAGCAGCGCCACGCGCACGCATTTTTCCTATGCGTGTGCACACATACATTCAAATGCGTGCATTCTTTTCTATTCCAAGAATTGAAATTGCGATTGAATTGTGCTGAATTATTAGCTGCTACTTATGTTCAAATTTGCAACAACTCGCGAAAGAAGGGCAGTGGCTGCGTTGGTATAGGCGCCGCTCGTATGCAGCTTGGTCCGGGTTCGAGACCAGAGGAGATGAAATGTTTTTTATTGTTTTATTTTTTTTTTTTAGTTATGAAGTGGCGGTGTTGGTAGAGTTTGTGCACGTTGCGCAAATAATCCGGGTTCGAATCCTGGTCTCGCAATGTCGATTTTTATTTGTTTTCGTTTTTTTTTAATTCTCGATACAAACTACGGAAAATATTACAAAACTCAAAGGACTAGGATCAGGGTATCTCCTAGTCGGGCACCCCGAGTAGAGCTTTCTTACTTGTTTAATATACAATTTAACAAAAGAAAAAAATAAAAAAGTAAAATAAAATATTCATAATATTTAGTAAATGTTTTAAAATTTTAAAATAAATAATAGAATATTTAAAAATATTTTTTTTAAATTTATATTTATATAAAACATACTTTAGTTACTTCAAATGTCTTTGGTCTAAATAGGGTTTGGCCAAGACAATATTACATGTCAACCAAGTTTAACTCAGATTAGCTCGTTTATTATAATTATAATAATTTCATAGAAATTTACATATTTTTAAAACTCATGAAATTTATGAAATTGTATTTTATTTTATTTTTTTTTCAATTTTAAATTATTTCCTAACACAAATATCTTAAAATCTGCTGAGATCTGAGGTCATTAATCTTTTATTCAATTTTTTGTAATAGTAATTTATGTCTATGCCAAACATAACACCATAAAAACGTTTCGAACTACTTAAAAATTCCGCTTAAAGATCGAGAATCTTAATTGTGAATAATAGCGATATGATTGCTATCTGAGTGGCTGGTTCTTCATTCCCACAGTAAATACTCTATGGCTAAACGCATATTTAAATCACATCTATTATAAAATTTCCTGTTTAGGATCTACAGACTAGTCAGAGAGAAAGAGAGAGAGAGAGAGAGTGAGTTAGAGCGGGAAGAGGCAGTGAGAGAGTGTCAGAGCGAGAGCTGTCTGTCTATGTAATATAGTCGCCGTCATCTGATTAGAGCCTGTTTGTGACCTCGCTTGTTTTGTGGAATTTATTGGACTACCTGATATCTACCAATAAGCACACCGCAAACACATAAACTTGTTCGCCTGGGCGTGGCAGAAGGGGGCCGGCAAGGGGTGTTCGAAGCGCTTGTCTGCAGCTGTTAACTGTGCCCATTTCGCTGGCGCCAGTGTTTTGGCCATGTTTTTCCGCATTTTTCACGATTGACCAAAAAATAAAACAACAAAAAAAACCCAAAATAAAAACAAAAACAAATAACAAAAAATTGTCATTTTGCATTTTGCCAGTCAAAAGTGTCTAATTTCGCATTTAGCGCAATAAAAAACAATAAAAACCAAAAATTAACAAAGAATAAAAAGAAGGGAGCAAAAACAATAAAAAAAAGCTATGAGAGTGTGTTAGCAGGCAATGCACGACTAGAAGATGCCCTGCAGCAGCTGTTTCAAGCCATTTTTGTGACAGCTCTGGCAGGCATTCAAAAGGTCAAAACTTCTATAACTAGCTATAATTAAGCTTAATCTATGTACCAAATTTAGTGAGTCTAGCTAACTAAATATGCGAGATATACGCAAATTTAGAATTTAATAGGGGAATGCAAAGATATTTTGGATATCGAAAAAGTTATCGATTGTTTGATAGCAAAACTTGAGCTTGTGATCTTAAGCTTAATTTATAGACCAAATTTAATGCAAATTTTGTGAGTCTAATAACAAAATATGTGAGATATGTGCAAATAACTAGAGTTTGATAAGATTTTTAATTGATTTTATGGATATCGAAAAAGTTATCGATTGCTTGATAACGAAACTTCATCAAGCAAGTGTTAAAGGCTTCCTTGTTCGTTTCAAGTTAAACCCATATACCCCATGCACAATGGGCTGCAGGGTATGACAGGCCAAATCTTGGCTGCGTGGCAGAAGCTGTTACTTTTGGCCATAATTAACTTAGCTCTCGTTGTTGCCTGTTGCTGGCTATTGCCTGTTTTTGGGCAGCAGCTTTTACGCACACAGCAGCGCTAGGAACACAGGAGCAACAGTTGCTGCCAGCAGCGGCAATGTCAATGCACTTGAAGGCAGCCAGACTCGCCTGTTAGCCTGGCTAACTGGCAGTCAGGCAATCGTATGTCGCAGATTTATCTCCGCGTACTTTGCCCCCACAAAAACAAAAAAAAAAAAGTATAGGAAAAAAGCAGGCTACGTCTTCTAACTGGGCCCAGAGCCAAGCCAAGGCGCAGTTTTGTCAACAGCAAAAAAACTGGATTTTTATGTTCTTCCTTTAGCGCACTAAGCAGCAGCAAGAAACGGGGGGAATTTCTCATAATTATGCATTAAACACTTGAAGTTTTGACGTTGCAGCTGGGCGTCGCAGCAATTTGCATATGGAAACCATAGAAACAAGATGACATAAACTGAAACTGAAATGAGCAAGTTGTGGAGGTATCTGCTGCTGCGTGGGCAACGCGAACTGGGCAAAAACAAATCGCATTTGAAATGTGTGTGTGTGTGTGTGTGTGTGTGTCTATGTGTATATGAAAACTTGTTTATTGGCTTAGCAGAAGGTTTTTGGGCTGCTGCCCTCTTGGGTCAATGTTATGTAAACCTGGTTCACTTTTCACACAAACTGCAGCAAAAGCACACATAATAAGACGCGCGCATATTACACAAAAACCCAAATAACAACAGCCACAACAACAGCAACAGCAGCAACAATAAATAACTTGGCCAAAGCAATCGATTCAATTTTGTTGGCTGCCAGCTCTACGAAGCTGCATTCCAAAGATGCGCAACAGGCAGCGATAAGAAAAAGTGCAACAGCAACAGCAGCAGCAACAGCAGCAATAAAATATGTCGCCAGCCAAAAATGAGAAATAATCATTTAACAAAAAAAAAAAAAAAAAAGGAAACAAAAACAAGAAAAAAGTGAAATGTGTCTTGCGCAATGTTTTATATATATTGTTATTATTATTATTATTTTTTTTTGATTTGTGTGCCATTTGTTTATATATAATTTCTTGTGTTGTTGTAGCGTCGCCCTAAAATGCTGGCAACAAGGTGTTAAAAAACAATTTTCAAACGTAATAAACGAAACGAAAACTACACGAAGAAGAAAAAGAAGACGAAGATAATCCCAGCAAGAGCAATTATCTAAATGAAAATGCGAAATCATCAAGAAAACGGAAATCATCAGCAGAGCTCAGCCACGACGACAGCAACAGCAACAGCAGCAGCAACATCAATAGCAGCAACAGCTACGACAGCAACTGTGACAATGCCTTTGGATAGCACCAAAATGGACAGCGCCAATGGCAATACCAACAGCAACAACAATAACAACAACAGCAGCAGCAACAATCACAATAGCAACATCAGCAACAACAACAACATCAGCAACAGCAATGGACAAACAGACAAACTGTCCAAGTTGTTGCTGCCCGCACTTAAGAACAGCGCCAAGGATGCCTCGCAAACGCCATCACAATCACAGTTGCAGTCACAGTCACAGTCACAGTCACCGTCACAGTTGCAATTGCAGTCACAGCGCAGGCAACAGCAATTTACGCCCCTCAACGTCTCGGATGCGGCTAGCAATGCCAGCTTTAGTTCCGCATCAGTTGCCGGCTCCATACAGGTAAGAGTTGCCAAAAAAAAAAGCAAAATATATACAAAAATAATCAAACTTCAAACCAAAGAAATGAAAAATATCAAAAAAAGTACTTAAGCCAAGTTGGCTCTGTAGGCTAGCTAGACCCAAATGATACCCTGGACTGAAGTATCGTAAGATGTGTCTTTAGATAATCCACTCTAGTGTAAAGTAGAGCAGAGCTAACTTGGAATTCCTGTGAGTGTACTTTATGAAATAAAAATCGATTGCTTTCGATATTATTTTGTTATACATTTATCGATAATTATTCAATGTTAAATTGCATATGCCCGATTTTCATTCATTTTTGTCTGTTTTTAACTCGATTGAGTTTCATTTCTAAAGATATAAATGTAATCGATTGTACTACTATCGATAGTTTTTTTTTTCGATGATTAACTTTTCTCTTAATTTTTTTATTTCTTTCAAATTTGCTGTAAAACTATTTAATCGATTGCTGATGTCAACCATCGATAGTTCTCACGGCGCATATTTGTCGATAGCTTTATCGATATGCATTTTTGTGTAGAGCTTAAACAAAATTAAAATGCAAAAAATGCTCTAAAGCTTTTGCATTAAGCTACTGGCAGGAAAATAGCTGTTAAATTTTTTTATGCATTACCTATCGATAGTTTATCAGCGCGTATTTATCGCTATTTATATCGAACTGCAGCAATTGTTAATATCTTTTGCATAGATAGAATATGTGTATATATAAATATATATTACTGATATATTACTGCTGTATATCGATAGTTTATCGGTGGCAATAGCTATCATTGTAGTATATCGATAATATATATTGATCTCATATAACATGATGTCCTCACTGTTTTGTGAATACATTTAAAAACTATCGTTAGTGATGATTTATATTGTATACAAAAAACTATCGCATTTAGTATTTCTAGAATACCATCGTATGAAATGCATCTAAAGAGACAGCTGTGCTCTCTTCCAATGCTCTTTACGTGTGAATAGTTTTCTATACGTTTGTCATAGCCACTTTTTATGCAGCCAGCAGCTACAGGGTATTGCCAACAACTCAAAAAACTTTGCGAACCGGTTTGCCGCTGCCGGCTTCTCGTCGCTGCTCGCTGTGTCTGCATTTGTTTCTGTTTCTGTTTCGGTATTTTTTTATTATTCTTGTTAATAAATCCTCAAAGCGCGCAGAATTCCAATCGCTCCGTCGCTGACTCACGCTCTGGCCCACAGTTCCACAGTTCCAGTCTCCGGTCTTCGCTCTCCACACACCGCTCGCCGCTCGTCGCTCTGCAGTCTGTTGCCACAGCAAAAGTGAAGGCTTAAACAAACAGAAATTTAACTTTGATCGTCGTCGATGTCGATTTACATGGCCGGCAAAAAAAATATATATAAAAAAAATGGAAGCGGAAAATATAAGTATAATTCCTTTTCTTCTGTCTCAACTTCTCTGGCTCTGTCTCTCCGTCTTTTGTTTTGGCCCACGCACAGTGGGTCGGAATTCGTTTTTGAGGCACGGCCTGCATTGACACCGCGGCAGGTTCCTAATTGAATTATGAGTTTGACCTCCATTTGCGTGTTGCTTAACTCGATGCTCGCTTTTTCGATTTTCGATTTTTTCGCTTCGGTTTTCGTTTTCGAAATCACGACACTGTGTCACTCAGGCGACAAAACGGTACATTTAAGGGAGCCCCGGGGGGGTGGGGAAATTGAGTGGAACATTGCGGTTTATTTGCATGTCTCATGCAAAGGATCGCAGCCACAGCGAAATTATTAACTGACAGCGAGAGATAATGAATGAAACCGTAGAAATGTTGTTTTCGCCTTTGCAACTGTCATGTCTTCTCAATGGATGAGTAGCTTCTTTACAGATTGCAATACATATTTATGGGTATTCAATTGAGTGAGATGGCTTTGCTTATGTTTCAAATAGATGGAGTTACGTATAAGTGTAGGTAGAAGAATGTGGCTGGGATAGGATTAGTCAAGAGAATGGTAAAGGATGGAATTGAATGAACTGGGATTGGAAAGACTGAGTCAAGGATAGGAGAGGATAGGATAAATTAGGATAGCTTAGAAGGAGTTGAGATAAAAATGTACTGAAAAGGACAGCCCTGGATAGGAAATGATTGAATATGATAAGAATGGATAGAAAAGGTCAAGGATAGGAGAGGATAGGATGGGTTGAAATGAGTTGGGATTTATTGGATAGATAGGATTGGATAGAATAAAACCTAATAGAATGTTATCTGGGTTATCTAGGAACACAAATATTGGAAAAGGATGGATCATAGCAGCGGTTACAATTGGATAAGATATGGTAAATTAGGATTACAGTTGTATAGACTACAATAGAGTTGGAAGTATTAAGATAGCGATGAAACTGAATTGAAGATCAGAGATAACTTTCATATATTAAGTAAAAAGTAAGATAAAATGATTAAAATAAATAAGATATATTTGTAGCATCGCAATTAATTAGCATTTTGATGGTATTCCTGATATATTTCCACCCGTATATAGAATACTCTTGAAATATTTTCTCTCCTACAAGATGATATCATCCGTAAGAACTGTAAAACCGTTTTCATCTTTTTTAGCTAAAATAATATTTATTTTTAGAAATTCGATTATAACGCACATTCTTAAGTTTCTATAGAATATCTTTTCGACGTTGCCTATCACTACTTCTCAAGCTCGGCTTCTTACTCCATCTCCCTCTCGCGCGCACGCATTCTTTGGCCAGCAGCTGTAAGCTCAATTCCAGTTCAGTTCCATTTGCTATAGTTTTTTTTATACACACACATATGCCCGTCACCCATTAACCTTTAACTGAATTATAGAGTTTATTGTAGAACAGGGCCGCGGTGGCATCATGCCCAATGATCATTACGAAGAGCATAATCGTTTTGAAAATGGATTGCTTTTGCCTCTAAATGCAAAATAATTTACCAAATTAACGGTACCATTATCAACAGCGACGATCCGATCAATCAAAGTGAATCCGATCAATTAAATGTTGCCTCCAAGCGATGCACGAACCACAAACAGGGAGTGAGAGAGAGAGAGGCGGAGAGGCAGAGCGGGAGCGTTAGCGAGAGCGAGCGAGTAGACAAAGAAAATGGGTTATGGAACAAACATAACAGAACAGAACAGAAACACATAGAAGAAACAGAAGAAATGCGCTGAAGTGAATGTCGATTGATGCGGGGAAGGGCACTTGAACTATGTGAATTGGAACAGCTTCGACCTTATCACTGTGCAGTGTACAGACACACACACACATGCACACATGCACACACGCACACACACATACAGCTACATTCATAGTGAGCCTCTTCTTATTGTTTGCTTTAGCTTTTTTGACTGAAACGTTGCGGGAGTGAGAGAATGCGTTGATTAATCATCTGCTTTTTTTTTGCATGTTGCGAATTATGGGAGCGAGAGAGAGAGAGAGAGAGGGAAGCGGTAGATAGAGCGCAGGCATGTTTATCGATAGTTCGATTGGCAGGTTATTGAACTGCTCTGCGCTACGGGCCTTTTTTATTTTTTACTTACAATGCATATGCCGCGCGCGTATTTGTTACATTTCTTCTTCTTCTTTTTTGTGGCGTTCTGTGAGCAAACGCTAATTGCTCTATGGCCGTACCTCATGCCGTTGCGGCGTGTGCTTTAGTTCCAGTTATTAGACATGACTCCATCTGCCAGAGCAGCGCGCGGCCATTGATGGTGGTCCAAGGCAGGCTGGAAGGCTGGAAGGCGAGCAGGCGGATCAGGCAGGCTAGAAAGCTAAAAGGCGGGCAGGCAGAGCAGGCAGGCAGGCTAGCACTCAGCCCATCTGCATCTCCCTCTCCTTCCATCTCGCTCACTTGCTTAAGCTTAGAACAAGTTTTTGGGGTGATTTTTGCATCGATTAGGCGCATTCCAAGCGTCGCCTTTGCTTGTGGGCGTGGCGAGCAGACGACGCGCAAGCCTTAGCTATTTATAGCTGCAATCAAATTAATTGCAGCCACGCCCACTTGCAGCGCTGACAAAAAAAGAAAAACAACAACAACAAAACTGTAATGCTGCAGCCGCCGCGGCCGCTTGATGAAGGTCGCTTAGCTTTTGTGTCTTTTTTTCTATAGATTTTTTTTGTTTGCTTTCAGATGAATGCGCAGATTTCCACAGAAATAAAAAATTTATATATATATATATATATATGTATATATATATATACATTATGTACAAAATATTTTGACTTTAGCTGTAAGAGCTGCTGTCGTTTTTTTTCTGTTGAATCAGCCGAAGCACTTGACGCACTGCATTTGGAATTTGTATTTTTCCACTTTGGCCCTTCATCTGTAATGTAAAGTTCAAGTGGTCAACGGCAAGGCGTAGTTTTTGGTATGCGCGGCTCTGATCCAAGACCTGGCCAAGACTTGACTATATGCCACTTAATTGCTGCTTCATTTCCGTGAACTGTCTCGCTTTCGTTTTGCCCCACGGAAATGATCGCATATTTTGCCAAACAACATTGAGAGCGAGAGAGATCAGCAAACAAGAGTTCCCCCGAGCGGGCTCTTAGCTTGGCTTAGAGCTCACCATTGTTGCGCAATTAGGGCGGCTTAAAGCTAACGCCTTCTTTTTTCTCTTGCATACCCTGTAAACAATCATAGGGTGGGCTAGAACGGCAAACAGGAATTGCGCTTAAAATAAATATAATTAAAAATATATTAAAAACAAAATATAAAAAATTATATATATAAAAAAAAATTAATAATAAATAAAAAAAAATGTATAATACAAAACTTAATAAACATATTAAAAGAGCCCTGAAAAATAATAAAATAAAATAATAAATAAAAAAATATGTATAAAAAACGAATATTAATTTATTAGCGAATATATTTTTTGGTTATTGTTAAAAAAAAAATTAATTATTTGCTACTAAATTAATATTATTTTTTTCTTCCATATTTATTTTTTCATTTTATTTATTTATTTATTTTTTAACTTTATATTAA